TGAGACAGGGTCTCACTATGTAGTTGAGACTGACCTGGAACTCACTATGTAGCCCAGGCTGGTCTCGAACTCACAGCGATCCTCCTGCCTCAGCCTCCTGAGTACTGGGATTACAGGTGTGCACCACCATGCCCTGCCTCTCCATATTCTTTTAGCATTTTCTGTCACTTAAATTTTTGGATTATCTTCCAGATTATATAGTGGGTTTTGTTGTTTTTTTGTTTTGTTTTGTTTTTTGGTACTGGGGATTGAACTCAGGACTTTGCACTTGCGAAGCAGGCAGCAGAACTCTGACCCCAGATTATATCTAGATTAACTGAATGTATTTAAATGTGGCTTCTTGGTGAAAATCCTTATGAGACCAGCCATTCACCTATACTAATTTTGTTTACCCTCCCAGCCAGGGTTTTGGTGAGTGAATTTGGATGAATGTGACAGAACTGATTGGCTAGTAGGGGTCCGACAAGTGTCTGTTTCCCACCACCAGATGGAGTAGAAAAGAAGCAGTGATATTTATACTGAATTTCACCTTGCACCCAATTGTTGGTTGCTGACGTCTTTGTGATTATTTCAGGTCATTGATGAGACTCTGGATGTTAAGGAAATGATCTTCAATGCTGAGAGAGTTGGAGGCCTCGAGGAAGAGCCGGTATGTGTAGGGCTGCAGAGCCCAAAGCCAAAGTTCATGTCAGTTTGAGCTTCTTCCCACCTTCTCTGGCCTCATGGGCAGTGAAACATGCCTAATGTTTCCAGTTAATTTCCCATACTTTGGGTGAGAAAGCTGAAATGAAAAATCCCCAAGGGTGCTGGCCAGAGTGGGCTTTCTCTGCAAAGTAGATGGTTGTTGCAAAGCAGGATCTTTGTGTTGCCTTGGGCTTCAGAAACCTCATGTGACGTTTTACTTGCTGCCTCACAACTGCCGGATGGTCATGGGACCAAGTGCCCTGTTTGCTTTGTGATCTTAGGAGTCGGTGCGACCTCTGCGGGAGGACTTCAGTCTGAGCAGCAGCGCCCTGATTGGCCTGCTGGTCATTGCAGTGGCCATCGCCACGGTCATCGTCATCAGTCTGGTGCTGCTAAGGAAGAGGCAGTATGGCACCATCAGCCATGGGATTGTGGAGGTGAGGGCAGGGCTCTCCTGCCTGAGTGATGTGAGGGTGGGAATGGTATGGAATCTAAGCATCTCAGTACTGGACACACTGCCACCACCAGTTATGGTACTCACTGTACATTAGGTCACGTTGGGGAATCAGCTCTAACTCAACTCTGTCTTTCCTGCTGCAAAGGGCTGTTCCTGCCTTTCAGTATTAATTTGGGTTTTGACTGAATATTTGGAAGTCCTAAGAACATTCTGTGCTTTGGATAGTAAAATTTTTTTTCTCAGAGTGTTCCTAGAGTTTTCTTTTTTCAGATGTGTCAGATATTTAAGAATGTATGAGCCGGATGTGCTGCAATCCCAGCACTCAAGAGGCTGAGGCAAGAGGATTACTGTGAGTTTGAGGTCATCCTGGGCTACATAATGAGCTCAAGGATAGCCTGAACTGCAGAGCCAAGACCCTGTCTCAAAAAAAGAATGACATGAGGCCAGGCATGGTGGGGTATGCCTGTAATCCCAGCACTGGGGAAGCTGAGGCAGGAGGATCACTGTAAGTTCAGGGTCAGTCTGAACTATATAGTGAGTTCTGAACTACATTGTGAGACCCTGTCTCAAAAAACCAAAAAAAAAAAAAAAAAAAAAAAAAAAAAAAAAAAAGAATGAAACAAGGGACTGGTGCTCTCCCTGGTGATGCTGTGGATCCCATGTAGGGATTTGCTTATGCTAAGCAATTAAATGTTCTACCACTGACATACACCAGTTTGTCTACCCTTTTTAGTAGATGCATGTGTTTTATTGCTTATAAGCTACTCAGGCACATCTCTTGTTTTGTTTTGTTTTGTTTTGAGACAGGGTCTCACTATGTAGTTGAGTTGAGATTGACCTGGAACTCACTATGTAGTCCAGGTTGGTCTCAAACTCACGGCAATCCTCCTGCCTCAGCCTCCCAAGTGCTAGGATTACAGGCATGTGCCACTACGCCCGGCTATATCTCATTTTTTAATCATGAGAGAAGGGAACCAAAGAGAGCAATCAGGGGGGTGGGGGTATAACTCATAGCTCAGTAGTAGAGCATTTGAACAGCATACCTGAAACCTGGGGTTTGATTCCCAGTACTGCAAATTTAAAAAAAAAAAAAAAAAAAAAAAGACATACAGAAAGAGCCAAAGTATTTTTGGAGAGTTGAAGGGAGCTAGCATGCTATTTGATCATTAATGGAAAGCTCTAAAAGGTTTACCATCACTGGTCTAGAGTCTTTTGAATCTAGAATATATATAAAGAATAGAACATGCTCCAGAAAATGCATTCAGATGTCAGTTTTAGTAGTTTTGTTTTATCGGCTTCTGAAGACTGGCCAAGATGTGGATTTCTGGAGCGGGAGCAGACCATAAACCATCGGGCCTGCTCCTTATTTCATAGTTGATGTGACACTCAACTGTCGCAAGGAGCAGAGACTGTCTTGACTGTCACTGTGGTGCTGTGAAATATGTTCGCCACGTGGACCAGTCCTGCAGGACTCTAGCTTCAGAAAGAAGCATTGTCTCTTGGACTCCTTTCTTGTTTATTTCTCTGCAACCTCACCAGCAGCTCTCATTTGGTCTTTCTTTGTTTTTGTTAGTACCTGTTTACAACATATAGCTATTAGATGCTCACTGTAGGGAGATGGTACATGTGCAGAACATAGCTTAACTCTTTTTCATCCCCCTCTTCCCCTTCTCACTTGGTCTTTCCTGTGGGAAAAGATCCTGAATGGGCTTTTTGTCCCAGGGGATTGAGCAGCATGAAGCTCCTGACCTCTGGACCAGACTTGCGGCCCCCTCCATGACCTGTAGTCTTTGTTCTTCCAGGTTGACCCCATGCTCACCCCAGAAGAGCGTCACCTGAACAAGATGCAGAACCACGGCTATGAAAACCCTACCTATAAGTACCTGGAGCAGATGCAGATCTAAGTGGCAGGAAGCCTGTGGCACCCGAGTTACAAAATGGTGTGGGCAGGCAGAAGAGTCCACCATTCTGGATCAACTGCCTGCCACCACTTAGCACCAGAGGGTCTCATCTTCCATCCTGACTCCTGGCTCATTCAGACTATAAAATACTACTATAGAATTGCAATTTCCATTCTTTTAAATGGGTGAAAATGTTAATATAACAATATATGATATATAAACCTTAAGTGAAAAAATGATCTATTGCAGATATCTGAAGGATGTAGTTTTCTTTTTTAAATTAATCAGAAATCCATTTCTATTGCATTGTTTCACACATGCTCTCTACATAAATGGAAAATGTTGATTTTTTTAATGGTAGATTGTATATGCAGGCTGTTTGTTCCAGTTGCATTGTATAAATCAGTTCTAGGCTCATTTACTGTCGTAGTTTTTATTTAAAAAAAAACAAAACAAAACACTAAAAAAAGATGCAGTATTCCCTTTTTAAACTTTCAGAAAGTTGTTGAGAAAAAAGTGGAATGGGGAACTGTAATTGACCATTGACAACATCATGTTACCCTGGCTAAGTGACTTACAGGACCAGTCTCTCAGAAGCTCACTGTTTCTATGCTGGCCCCTGTTGCCAAGGATGACCAAGGTGTTTTTGTTCTCAAATCTTTCGCGAGCTGAATGCATACAAATGAGGGTATCCACTGCTGCTTTTCCTCCAAATCCAGTTCTTCCACAGCAACTAGCCTGTAGTTTGTGTATGACATCTTCACTGTTTGTTGTTCACTAACTGTGACATTTTACTCTTCACTTTCCCTTCCAAAGTATGTCCAATGTATGTGTAGTCTCTTCCTCTTTGGATGTCCCCTCCAGGGCACTGACGCTGCCTTCCGTCCATATCCCTGTGCCTCCCCTGTCCCTGGCCTCTGGTGTCCGTTCAAAGAAGACTACAGTAAGCAGGTGGCTGAGGACCAGGAGAGAGCCCGGGGCTCTCGATGTTGAGAATATTTTCAGCTGTACATGAACCTGGATCTGGAGACTGGAAAGCTTTGAAGATTTTGTTTCCTTCACATGAGTCTTTGTAATGCTTATATAGTTGATGTTGTTGCTCACAGTTTTTTGTTTGTTTCTTTCTTTTTTTTAATCTCAAGGTTCTGGTAACCAGTGGTGTTTATTTTGGTTCATTTTTTCTAATTTTCTGTGACTGTTTTTTTTTTTTTTTTTTCCCTTTTCCTCCCCTTTGACCCTATCCATGCCTCTTCCCACTATGCACAGATTAAACTTCACCTACAGACTTCTTAATATGATCTGTGGAGAATGTACAGAGTCTAAACACGTCAATAAATACTTTAACTTCCACCAAGACTCCTTGCTCTGTTGACCTGTGATGACATTTTGCTTGTCCTGCGTTCAGGGACATTGGGTACTCCTGCCCTGGAGGATCACTGTCGGGACACAGATGGTCTGTGGCAGCCCAGGCAGATCTTCATCTTTCAAGTTCAGATTCCATTTTCATTCAGAAAACAAGGATAGGCTGCCTAAGGCATTTGTGCTGGAAAATTGAGACTGTTAAAATCTTTTTTTAAAACTTAATTAATTAATTTATTTTGAGGGGGTACTGGGGATTGAACTCGGGACCTTGTGCTTGCAAGGCAGGCAGTGGAACCACTGAGCCAAATCCCTGGCCTGCCCTGGAAAATTGAAATTAGACCACCCATACTCAGTTGACAGACGTTTTCTTAATACTCCTGGAAACAGAGCCATGGCTGAACTTCAGGGAAATGTTTGCAGCCTCCATCTCTGAGTTTCTTAACTAGACATGGAGCCAATCTTGAAGCAGGTGTTGGGTGTTTTTTGAATGAGGTGTTACTGTGTAGAGGGCTTCATCATAAGAGTTTTTACTGTGTCCTTTTGGGGGGATTACTGTTATTTTGCAGTACTGGGGTTTGATTTCATGGTGAAGACTTGCATGCAAGGCAAGTGCTCTCACTGAGCTGCATCCCCTGTCTGTTTTTGAGACCAGGTTTCACTAAATTGCCTAGGCTGGTCCTGAGCTCATGATCATTGTCGCTACGTCCTGCTCACTAAGTTGTTTTAGTTTTTGTGGTACTTGGGATTGAACCCAGGCCTTCGCATCAAGCTACATCACCACCCCTTTTTAAAATATTTTTTGAGACAAGGCCTCAGTCACCAAGTTGCTCAAACTTGTGCTCCTCCTGCTTCAGCCTTCCAAAGTGCTGGGATTATAGGTCTGTGCCGCTGTGCCCAGCTCGCTTTTTTTTTTTTTTTTTTAAACTGGGGATTGAACTCTTGGGACCTTGTACTTGCGAGGCAGGCAGCTGCACCACTGAGCTAAATCCCAGGGACCCCAGCTCACTCTAATGTTCAGCTGGTCTGAAAGTAATTTCAGTGCTGATCTTAGCAGTCCCCATCCCGGTTTCCTACAGTGCATTTAAACACAGTAGTTATGAAGGTCACATTGCTCATACCTATGTATAGTGTTCCACATGTGTGCCGGCATGGGGCTCGCTCTTGGTATACAAGAATAGGGAGTGGAGGTTTTATGAGATGTGAGCCGGAGACCATGCTAATTCTTCACTTCCCCATTTGTCTCCCATGTTTGGCCACTGAAATTGGCTGCTGAGAAAGTCAAGAAGAGGGAACTTTTTTTAAAGCCAGTTCTGCCGGAGTGCTGTAAAAAAAATACTGTCATTTGACCCTGTAACAATCTGGGAAATAGCTCTCATGTTCCCAATCTGATTGCAGATGTTGCAGGCCAGCTGTATTTAATGTGCCTTCTTCCTGAGCTGTCCTCTGGGTGTAGCACAGTGTAGCTGTCCCAGCAGCTCTGGTGGACTCCCTCCCTCCAGCAGTCCTGGACCCCAGCCCCATGCTCAGCTTGGGCCTGGGGGCTGATCCCTGCACTCCTACTGGTGATGGGCCTGAAAATTCAAGCTGGTGGAATTGTGGTTTCTACTTACACATTTATTAGACTGCTGGGGATAGGTCAGGGTTCGGGGCCAATGTGACTTCACCCTGGGTGAGTCTGCCTGCATGCAACAGATACAGAGTCATCTGACAGAATTCTTACACTGTTGAGGTAGATGTTTAGATATGGCAGCCATATAAAAGATTAAAAAAAAATTTTTGAGAAAGGTTCAGACTATCCCTAAATTCATCATGTAGCCCAGAACTCAGAGCAGCCCTGCCTCAGCCTCCTGAGTTCTGGGATTCAGGTGCGTGTCATCACACCTGCCTACACATTAAATGTTAGAAGGAAATGCCCACGGAAGTGTGAGGCAGGAGCTGCCATTGCCTCACCCTGTGCTGGATGTACTCTGCTCCTGGCAACACAGCCCTGTCAGGAGAGAAACTGACTCCTGGTTTCTGCTCAGTGACTCAGCCTTGACCTCTGGGGAGTGTGGCCCTACCCACCTGCCTCCCCTGCAGTGCGGTGAGAAAGTCCCCTCCTACCTACCTGCCTGCAAGTCAGCTCATTGAGGGTGGAGCCAGCCACAGGTGTCCAGGTCACTCTGGTTTCAGTTGCCGTAGCAACTGATACTCTTAATTCTGAAACACAGATTAGGACATAAGGAGTCTCTTAACATTTGCGGAGATCCGTGAGCCTCCTATCATAGGAACACATTGTCCTCCCACTTCTGGGAGGATGTCAGGGACACAGACAAAACTGAAGGAAGCAAGGTCACAAGCTGTTAGTGCTGAGCTGGAGTCCTGTGGAGTCTGGCTGTGGGCGCCAGGCTCTCTACTGTGAGAGAGCACAGACCAGTATCTGGCCTTGTTAGCTGTGCAGTGAGAAGTCGTGTCTGTTCTATCCCGAGAGTACTTAATTTAGCAAGCCTTAATCACAGAGCATTGGACAAGCAGTCCAGATCCACAGAATGGCATAAAAGTTTTCCCCTAGAACTTTATTTTAAAATGTTTTATGTGTACATGTTTGTAGTCCGTAATGATTGCATTCATGGTAGGGAGTTGGTACATGAACATAGTGCACCTTAACTCTTTTTATTTCCCCTCTCTTACACCTTCCCCTCCTTACTCCTTCCCTCCATCTCTTGGTTCTCTTCTCACTCGGAAAAGATCTGTGGGTGGGACAGGACTGCTGGAGGATGCTGCTGAAATTCTGTGGCCAAGAAAACCAAGATCTGGTTGAACTTAACATTTTGAAGTCAGTGCCCCTTTGACTGGAGCAGTGGCCTCCATCAATACAACACTTCTAGTGTGTAACATGTATATATTTATTTTTGTTTAAATTTCTACTTTTACCTCTGAAATCATTTGCAGGAAGTGCACTTGTAGACAGAGGGAGGCCAGCTGTGGTGCAGTGGTGTTCAGTGCATCGTGCTGTCTCCAGAAAGACCAAGGCACAGTAGCACCTCATTCCCCGAGTTAGGACCTCACGATAAAAATGCTAACCATGCACTCTTGAGCCCACACGCCCTGTGACAAGCTCCAGGAGCCACCCGCTTCTAAGTACACTACTTGTCCCGAGCTGGGGGGCTTTCAGTATGCACTCTTGGTGACAAGTCAACTGTCTCGTGACCCCACGGCACCAGAGGAGACACTTGCTGGTTACTGTGATCCCACCCTGTGTCCTTCTGTCCCTTTCCACCTGTCTGCATCTGTGGTCACTTCTGTTCACTGACACTTCCGCATGGCGCTGCTAAGTGGTGTGTAGGTGCATGTGGTGTCCTTCATCCCGGCACATATTGCATCTTCTTTTTACATACCTTCCTCTCCCCTCGCTCCACCCTTCATCGTTTTTGAGATTCTATACATGTGCTAATTTTAAATAGAAACTTGGAGAGCAGAGAAAAGTGAAGTCATTTTTCCAAGTTGGATTTAGGGTGTAAAGTCTGGGTCAAGTAGAATTACTAGTTTTAGCGTGAGCAGAGTTTGGCATCATTTAGTCCTGTCTCTTGGTTCCTGTCATGGCAGTCTCTCACACTCTTTGTTCTGGTCATCTTGATGCCTCTGAGGAGTCCTGGTCAGGCACTTCCTAGATTCCACCATCACTAGGTGTCTAACCTTTTCCTCAGGATGAGACCGCAGAGATGAGATGCTCTTATCAGCAGTGCATGCTGGCAACATCACTTAACCGCTGTTGGTGCTGACCCTGGTCACCTGGCTGGGTTGGTGGTGTCAGGTTATCCAACTCTCCTTCCCTCACATCCCACCTACCCCATATCGTCTTCACTGTGCACCCCACCACTTGAGTACAGAGTTAAAGCCCTCCTTTATATTGCTACAGTATTTTGTTTTTGGATTTTTTCCCTACTTCCTCAGCATCCCAAGTGCTGGGATCACAGGCATGCACCACCATCCCCATCTCTTCCTATTTTTAAAATTTTATTTTGACACTGACACAAAGCAATTAAACTGGGCTTGGTGGTATACACCTATACTCGAAGCACCCTGAGAGGCTGAGGCAGGAGGATCCAAAGTTCAACTATGGGCAGCTTGGTGACTTAGCAAGACTGTCCCTAGATTAAAAAGGGCCGGGTATTTAGCTTAGTGGTTCCGCTGCCCGCTTCACAAAAACATGGTCCCGAGTCTGATCCCCAGTACAAAAATAAATAAATAAATAAAAGTACAAATTAAAAAGGGTAGGCAATGTAGCTAAGTGTGAAAGCCCTGCGTTCAATCCCCAGTACTGAAAAAACAGCAGTCTGGTTCTAAGGTCACTTGGTTGTAATACTGTACTCAAGGGCTATCTAAGCACAGAGTCCTAGATTGTGACGGTTTCACGTATGTCAACACATATTGAGACGGGATATGCAGTATAGGAGGTGTGATAAAAATATGGTGAATGTTTACATTTAAAAAATACAGGGCTGGGGATTTGGCTCAGGAGGTTCTATCTCCTGCCTCACAAGCGCAAGGTCCTGAGTTTGATCCCTGATACCAAAAAAAAAAAAGAAAAGTACTACAAAGAACAGCATTGCCATTGGTGAGCCTCAGAATACTCACCATTCCTTTGAACACCTTCTTGCCACTTTTTGAAGCAGTTCTGGAAACCCTGTGTGGTGGCTGCCTCAATGTCCTGAATCAAGTCAGAACTTTTACTTTTCATGGTCATTTTGACATGGTCTTTTGAGCCCCCTTTGCAACTTTCCTCAGATGATCCATGAATGTTCTTGGTTTTTCCGGGCTTCTGTGGTCTCCACTGCACCTTCGGCTGCACACTCACAGCTTCATGCACTGCCCCTCAGGGACGCACCGCCTGGCCTCCCTGGCCTTCTGAAGTCTGGGTGGAAGCCTTCCTGACCTGGTGACGAGAGGAAGCGAGGAGAGTGGCGCAGACGCTGGGCTACCACGTCAGGGTAACTGGACACCAGCCCTGTGATCCGTGACAACACTCTGAGCCTGAGCCGCTGTGAAGTGACCGCAGCCAGGCAGCACGCGTCATGGGCACGTGCTGGACTGAGGGGTGGTTCAAGGCCTGGGTGGATGGAGCAGCAGACTCAAAACGTCATTGCACTACTCAGAATGGCGTGCGACTTAAAACATTTTTTTTCCAGGGCAGTATACATTTTATTTTATTTTTTCCCCATTAAATTAACTTAAAACTTATGAATTATTCACTTCCAGAATTTATCATTTAATATTTTTGGACTATGGTCAACCCAATAACTGAAGCGTCAGAAAGTAAAACTGGATGAGGGGATTCTCCCTTAAGGACAAATGCATGGTCTTGATCATTTGAACCTTCTGGGTCAGCCTCTTACCATATTAGATGATAACTGTTTTCACCTGAGCGCTGAGTTCAGCTGCTAGTGAGTGGGCCGGTGACTTTGATTATAAGGGGAACCCACATGAAGCTCATATGGAACCATGGAATGAGCAGACTAGGCCATAGCTATCAGATTGTGTGAACTGAGTGGCTTGGGTGCATTTGTGGAGAGGGGCATTTCCAGAGAGTCCCTCCTAGACTGGCATTTCAGCTGTGGCAGGCAGCACTCTGTCTCCATGAAAACACTTGAGGAAACAAGGAGGCAAGACCCTTGTTGGTTCATGGCTTCAGGCCATGGTCACTGGGGCCTGTGGTGCACAGAACATCAAGGTGGATGAGACCCATTTACTCTGTGCAGCTGGGAAGCAGAGAGGCAGGAAGGGGCTGGGTCCCCATATCCCCACCAAGGGCAGACCCCAGGGACTGAAGTTCCCCTGCTAGACCTTGACTCTTAAAGTTTCACCACCTCATCCTCCTACAGCCACTGGCACCAATCCTTTCAAGCCCCTTGAGAGACATTAAAGAACCCAATTACACAGGCTGGGCCTGGTGGCACACACCTGCATTCAGGAGGTTGAGGCAGGAGGACCACTGAGTTCAAGGCCAGCCTGAACTACATAGTGAAATCCTGCCCCCACCCCAAAGCTTGCAACTATAGCAACAGAGCATCTGTGTTTACTCAGTTTTTGGACATTCATTATCTTTCAAGCAGCCCTCCCATATTTGGTGAACTTCCATCATGAATCCTGCCTTAACCAGCCACTTTTCAGCTCTCATGTACGTAGGTCACAGAAGTGGGAGGTAATGAGCTGTACTCACAAGAGGCTTACTCATAATCCCAGCACTCAGGATCGCCACAAGTTTGAGGCCTGCCTAGAATATACAGCGAGACCCTGGCTCAAAAAATAAATAAATAAAGAGGCTTAGTCAAGAAGGAACCAAGAAAAGAACATAGACACTTAGGGAACCTACTTTCCAGCAGGGCAGTGAAGGAAGAGGCATGCAGTCTTTGTGGCAGCAATGGCCACACAATGGTTTCCAAGGCCTGGTTCCATTGGGTGAGGTGTAGTGTTGTCCCTGTGGCTTCCCGCAGCCCTGTGGTATGGCTGAGCCTTGTTTCTGCTCTGTTTCCTCCTCTTTGCCTCTCTGGCAACCCAGGCACCATGAGCCTCTCAGAACCTTTTAATAATTTCCTACACACACACACACACACACACACACACACACCCTGTGTCCCAATTAGCTAGAGTATTATTCTGCTTTTTGTTAGCTGGCAAGTTGACAAAAATTCCATTAAGGATAAATTCACTGAACTCTCCTGGGAAAATTCTACCTGTTGCTTTCGTTTAATAAAGGAGATGGGGTTTTAAAATGTGAGATGAGAACAGGAGTCTCGGTACAGAAAAAAAAAATACAGACACAGATAGAGTAAGTCAATACCATGGAGTCCTACTTTAGAATTGGAACTCACAGTATGAACATGAGAGATATTTTCTTTCAAAACTTTCTAGTTTTCTAGGACTGTGGATGTACCTCTGTATTAGAGCACTTACCTATCATTTGTGAGGTCCTGAGTTTGAACCCTAGCCCCGAAAAAAAATCCTAGTTTTGTTATCAAAAGACCCAGAAACAATGACCTGGTAGTGAATATCTCTTTTGCAGAGATTATAACCTTGAACTCTCATTATTCACTAAAGGGTATAAATAAGGGTGTCCTGAAGAAGTGTCTGCACTTGGGCTGGGGATTTAGCTCAGTAGTGCCACTGTCTGCTTTGAAAGCACAGGGACCCAAGTTGATCCCCAGTACAAAAAAAAAAAGTCTGCCCTTGAGAGTTGTGTACAAAGGAAGCCTAGAATATAATAAAAGCAAAAAAACAAAACAAAACAAAAGACTAGGTATGGGGCTGCATACGGTGGCACATGCCTGTAATCCCAGCACTCAGGAGGCTGAGGCAGGAGGATCACTGTGAGTTCACGGCCAGCCTGAGCTGAATAGTAAGACCTGGTCTCAAAAAAAAAAAAAAAAAAAGCTACTTGCCTGCCGTGGTGGCGCACTCCTGTAATCCCAGCACTCGGGAGGCTGAGGCAGGAGGATCACTGTAAGTTCGAGACCAGCCTGAGCTACACAGTAAGTTCCAGGTCAGTCTCAACTACATAGTGAGACCCTGTCTCAAAAAACAAAAAAATCACAGTTGGGTTGAGTGACTCAGAGCTGATTTTTTTGTACCAGGGATCGAACTTGGGTCCTTGCACTTGTGAGGAAGGCCACCAAACCACTGAGCTAAATCCCTGGCCCTCAGAGCTAACTTAAAGAGGCTCCTAGTGACCAAAGAAGGAACAACTTTGAACACCAATAGGCATTAAAATAGCCATAAACTAAAACATAACAAATATGCTCAAGTCCCAGGATTCACAATAATAACAAAAGCAAGCAAAACTCAACTGGCATCCTATAGTTTGGATACGAAATGTCCCCGGCAGGCCCCATGTGAAAGGCTGGATCCCTGCCTTGGCACTGCAGGGTAGAAGTGGTAGAAACCTTGAGGTGGGGCTTCCAGTCCTTGGGGAAGGACCTTGAAGGGCACTGTGGAGCCCTGGTCCCTCTTCCCTCCCCGCCCTCCCCCAGGCCTGGCCATGAAAGAGCAACTTCACTTTACCATGCACCCTTCTATGATGCTGTGCCTGAGCACAGGCCCACAAACAGTGCAGCCCATTGACCATGGACTGAAACCTCTGCAATCATGAGCCAACAAGAACTTTTCATTTTTTAGAGTTGATTAAATTATTTTGTGACTGACACTTTTGTAAAATGTCAGGACATTAACTACTGAGAAACAGCAAAATGAAACACTTGGATGTTTGTCCTTCCTTTCCTACACTAGTATTAACCAAGCAAATAAGAAGAAATTTCACCTTCTAGAAGTATTCCAACAAGTTAATAAACAAGGAATGATAAATTGTACTATTACTATTCTCATTTCCTAATGAATTTAGAATTTGGGGACAAAACTTACAATATAAAACATGGGACAACCAGACATGTCTTCTGTTCAAAAACACACTATTGGGCCGGGGATTTAGCTCAGTGGTTCTGCTATCTGCCTTGCAAGTGCAAGGACCTGAGTTCAATCCCCGGTACCAAAAACAACAACAACAAAAAATCAAAAAGACACTACCCTCTGTGAAGCAATTTCCCTCTGAAAGTAAATCTGATAGAAGACCTCAGACACAACAGTTTGCAGAGGACACAGAGTGCTGGGGAGCCCACTAGAGTCTTCTGGGAGAGTCCAATAAGCAAAATCCTAACTGCAGGAGTCTACTGAACAGATGATTTGGAATCGTCAGTAAATGTATAGTAAAGGGAGGGCAAGAAAAGATGAAGTGGGAGACTATAGGTTAAAATAACTAAAACATTCCAAACAAAATACAGAAGAAGCAGGGCAGGGCTGGAGGCAGAGCTCAGTGGTAATGCATTTGCCTAGCATTTCTGAGGTTCTTGGTTCAATCCCTAGAACAGAAACAAACAAAGGTACACGTTAGTGTGTACAGATTTAAGCCTGGATGATAAAACTATAAAGAAAACCCAAGAAGTAACGAACTCAGAAGTCAGAATAGTGGTTTCTCTAAATGGGACAGGAGAGGCCGTTGCTTTGGGATAGGCACATGGAGGTCTTGGAGGATGGATGGGATTGGCAAGGTTCTCCAGGCTAAGAATCTCTAATACAAAATATAGCAACACTTTTTGAACATCAGCATGATGTAGCTAGTGGAAAATTCTGTCAGGTGTAGTGGCACATGCCTGTAATTCCAGTACTCCAGAGGCAAAGGCAGGTGGATCACTGTGAGTTTGAGGCCAGATAGGGCTACACAGTGAGACCTTGCCTCAAAAAAAAAAAGGCCAGGGATTTACCTCAGTAGCACTGTGCTTGCCTCAAAAGCACAAGGTCCTCAGTTTGATTCCTGGTACAGAAAAAAAAAAAAAAAAAAAAAAAAAAGACAAAAATTCTACACGTGAAATGGTATCTTAATCACCTTCCTCTGCTGGGTCAGAAAATCCAACACCCACAACTTAAGGGAAACTCATGCTTCAGAAGTTTCCGTCCTTGCATGGTCAGCCAGCTCCAGAGAGCAGTGCATGTTGGAAAGGTCTGGTTAAGGTAAAGCAGCTCACCTCATGGGGCACAGGAAGAAGAGAGTCAAGGGAGAACCCAGGAAGGGAGACAGAGCCCCCCATGGTGATCAGCTATAAACCCCCAAATTCCTTTCAAACTCATGAGGCTGTGGGGCCATTTTAGATCTATGACCATGACACACTGACTGCAGTTAAGATACAGGCTTACTGAGAATGTATTTGAAATTACATTCAAACTGGGTGTGATGGTGCATGCCTATAATCTCAGCAGTTTCAGAGGTTGGGGCAGGAGGAGTATAAATTTGAGCTCAGCCTGAGCAATTTAGCTATTTAGCTAGATTTTCTCTCCAAAAGTGATGGGGTGGGGTGGCTAGGAAGGTAGCTCAGTGCAAAAGCCATTGGTTCAATCTCCAGTACAGGGGGGGAAAAAAAAAAAAAAATATATTTTTTATATTCTAGAGGTGGAACTAACAGATTAGTGATTTGCTTGTGCATCTGAGTGGGATAAGAAAAGGTAAAAGTCCACAATGCCTTTGAGAACTGTTGATTAAATGGATGGTAAAACTGTTCACTGAGAGGGCTAAGTTAAAGTACCCTAAGGAAGATAGTGCTTGTTGAGATCCAACCTGCTATTCTGCTGTGATTGGAGTCACTTACTGTCTCCCAGGATCTGCCTTTATCTTTTATCTCCTAGCGCTAAAGACAACTCTTGCCCTTAGAAGGTGCTCCTGTGAGCAAGTGCCAAGTGTATGCAATGCATTTCCTGCAAATCCAGATGGAGAAAAGGCCCACCGAGGCCCTTCCTAGGGTCACTGTGTCAGCTAAAGAATGAGTACATCCTCTGTGCAGACTGGAGAAGTGCAGCTGTGTGTGAGTCCTTTAAACACATTTGGTTCATCCTCATCAAATGCTGATCTGCTTTTGTTTCCGCACTGTGAGTGGCACGGGCTGGATGGACTGACCCTTAGCTCATGGGCGGTCATAACACATTCTGCCTTGCAACACCATTGTGATGGTTGCAAAGCAGAGCATTTGATTTCTCTTCTGTGCAGCAGGGAAATCAGAATACACCAGAGCCTAGTGTCCTGAGGAAGAAGAGAAGTGTCTTTGCCGGCAGAAGTTTTCACAGACATGTTTCATCTGAATTTGGATGTCACCAGGAGAAGGAGGCAAAGGGTTTGTGCTGAGAGGGCTGCAGGCAAATGGCCCTGCCCCCAAGTAGGGGCCCTGCAGGGAAAGTAGTTACCATGATGATCCTAAGCAACCACTGCTCAGAAAACTCATTGTTTGCAGTGCCACAAAGCACCTTCCATAGAAGTGCTAGACATGGGGTGCCCCGGTTCCGATGAAGGCTCCTCAACTGGCTCATTTCACCTTCTTCTCTTCACTCTAAACCCTCACACACCTCTTGCTGTTTGTAGACTTTTCCTCCTCAAAGGACAGTGAGTGGCCTGAAGGCCTGGCAAGATCTGCTCCTCTAGGTTGGCTCCCTGGTCTCACCGTCTCAGACGGAGCCCTGGAGATTTGAAATTTGTGCTATGTCTGCACGATGCAGCCCCACCCTCCTCCAAGTCATCTCCAGTTTTAAACCAGGATGTTTAGCCTGTGGGCAGTGCACACAGGTGCACCTTCTTGTAGTCCTGGCTCCTATGACACGGGGGGGGGGTGCTGGCTGAGTGCATCCCAGTGCGTCCCAGGGACACAGGTGTGACTTTCCCAGCAGACAGAGACCTGTGGGAAATCTAGGGAGAGAGGGGAGATGGCAGCTTTGAAGTGAGTGTTGAAACTTTGGGGAGGAGCAGGATGCAGGTGAGGAAGGTAGGTGGTGAAATTTGGCTAATTTGGTCATGAATTGTCCAGGTATAGGAAAGGAATGACATGGGCCTCAGGCTGAAATCTGGATCTGAGCTGTTTTGCCACAGAGGAGTGTGAAAACTTGGAGAACTCGGCACTTTTTTTCCTCTCCTTGCAGGCAAGTGCCCTACCCTTGAGTAACATCCCCAGTCCTTGTGAGAAGACATGCTCAGAAGAATGGTTTCCAAGCCCTGATCAGAAAGTACTATCTTCAGTTCTTCAGGCACAAGATCAAGCAGGTTTTTGATAGGACAGCCTAGATCCAATGTCAGAATAGGGAATATAACAGAGGGCCACTGTGCCTGCTCTTTCTCCAGTGACCCCCTCTCACTCTGCAGAACCTACTTCTTTTCCTGCCTTTAATAAATGTGTAACTTAGCTACCTTTTGCACATTTCTTGACCAATTCCTTGTCTAAGACAACAAAAACCTAGGAGGAATATCTAGAAGGAGCCCACAGAACCCCAGAACTCCAGCAACATTTAGCCATATTCTTTGGACTGTGTGCGCTTGGGCTTCCGCACTGGCAATTTAGGAACAAAAACACCGTGCTATAATTTGATGAGGATTAAACTAAATGGTTTACTGTAATCATATGTGATTATCCATTCCCCTCTGTCTGGGAGGCACAGGTGCATCGGAAACCATACAGGGTTGTCACTGAAGCACACAGTGTGCACCTGGTACCTCGAATGACAGTGAGCCTCGGGAAGGACACTGACCAGCGTTTTTCTCCTCCTCTGAACCACAATAAATGCATCGCTCGTGAACTACATCAAATGACTGCATGAGTGCTTTCTGTGGGTAAGAGACTTATCGAGTTCTATGAGATAAACGCTTGTGGGCCCAGAACGGTGTTACATACCTGTAAACCCACCACTCTTGGAGGCTGGAGGATTGCAAAGACCCCGGGTTCAATGTCCAGCACCACAGAAAAGAAGACAGCCTTGGCCAGATTGGAGCTCACTGGATGTGAGATGAAGTGAAGTGGAGAGTCAGGATGATTCCCAGGCTGGAGTCCAGGAGAAAGATCTTGTTGATTAGGGAAAACAGCACAAGGCGACCAAATCCAGGAAGAAAAATTGTGACCTGTTGGCTTCAAGGCAGGGGTCTTTGTTTTGTTTGCTTTTGTGTCCAGTACTGAGGACAGTGCTCAGCACATAGTGCTCACTCAGGAGGGTCGGCTGTGGGATCCACGATGAGCACCAGTGGAGAGGTTCTCAGACAACAGCCGGTGCACAGCCGGCAGCGCTTGGTGACGTCTACCGGCGAGGCAGGTCTGCCCATCCGAGGCAAAGGGGGCTGGGGGAGGGAGGGAAGGAGAGAGAGAGGGCGGGAAAGAGAGAGAGGGAGGGAAGGAGAGCGCTTTGTAGCCACGACCTCCCGCGGGAAAAGTGGGTCAAGAATCCAGAAAGGTGGGCGACTGGAGAAGGGCGTGGCCGGTGTCGGATGACGTCCTGGGAGACCAGGCACTGGTCCCAAGGGATACCCCACAACGCCCGGGATCGGCGGTAGGGCCCCAGAGGAGGGAGGTCAGGGCGAGGCGGCTGGGCTCAAGCAGCTGTGACTTTTGTCTGCTTTTGGAGGGGTCACAACTGAGCCCCGGCGTGTGGCAGGATAGCTGAAGTGGAAGATCTAGTGAGGCTGGCTGGAGCTGCTGAGGATGAGAGAAAAGATGGTTGATAGGGAAGGTTGTCTTCCAGGAGAAGCAGAAGAGAGGGAATGAACTTTCGTTGTTGCTGGGACTTTCCGGCCCATCCCGGGTCGCCAGATCCGCTCTCCAGCTCTCCTTCAGACTCAGGGATCTTCCGGCAAGGGGGCGGAGCTTCTCTCGGGGCGTGACCAGGGTCGGTCTGGTTCCCAGGAAAGGTGCTCCTTGGGCCGTGGGCGGGGCCTAGCTCAGGCCACGCCCTGAAACTACCTGCTCGGGGCAGGAAGGATGAGAGCAAGAGCTGCT